TGCGGGGGAGCCAGCAGCTCCCGGGCTTGGAGCCCGCCTCCGCGTCCCCGGAGGCCCTGGCAGAAGGCTGGGCCTCAGGCAGGACCTGGGTGCCGGGAGGAGGGTGGGGCCAGCAGTTCTGACCCAGCCAGTGTCATTAGCGTGCCACCCCCGGGAACTCACCCCAGGGAGGAGGGGAGCGGTGACTCTGCCCAGGGTCACCCGGACCAGGGGGTGCTGGGCAGGGGCAGGGAGAGAGGGCTGCCTCTCTTGGGCAGCGCTGTCCCCATCTGTCTGTCTGTCTGTCTGTCCGTGGAGCTGGCTGGGCTGGGCCGCCACCCCCTGTGGTCCGGCTGACCCAGATCCAGCTCTGCTGTCCTGGCACCTGCTCTCTGCAGTTCCCACTCCTGCTCACGCTGCAGCCCGGAGCCGCTGCTCTCCAGCCGTCTCTCCCCCCGAAGGACCCGCAGCCTCGTCCCTGGGAGCAGGTGGCACAGGGGCTGCAGGTGCCAGGGCAGATCTCTAGGGGCGGAGCCTAGAGCTGGGCTGGAGGTGAGCTGGTGAGCCCCGTCTGTGGTTTGGGCAGGGGGGCCAGCGCCCACCTCTGCCCTCGGACAGGGCGGCTCTTTGGGGAGCAGCTGGGCCTCATGTTTAGTGATGACATGACTTAATCTAGAGATGAAACCTGAAGAGCATGCCTGGCAAAAACCAGGTGCCTCCCTCATGGCCAGGACGCTGGGCCCCTGGGCGGGCTGTGCCGGGCGGGGGTGGGGCGCGTTGGCCCAGCAGGCACCCCTCGAGGAACATGAGGTGGGCTCCCTGGGAGGGGCACCTGGGCACAGTAGGACCTGCAGCTGGCGACCTTGCTCACAGAGCCAGCCGCCCGCACAGCTGCCCTGATTGCGCTCCTGCTCCCTCCGGCCGAGGAGGCGGCACCGGAAACCGGACCCTTGTTGGAGCTGCCGTCGGGCTCCCGCGGCCGAGGCCGGGTTGCTGAGCTGTGGCCTCGTCCCCCCCGCCTCCGGAGGCAGGGCAGCTGGG